CACCAAAGCTCTTTTCTGGGACCCCTCCTATTCTCAACCTACACCTCCTCTCTGGGTCAGTTTATTGCCTCCCATGGCTTTCAATACCATTTTTATGCTGATGACACCCAAATTTATCTCTCTACCCCTCAGCTCACTTCATCAGTCTTCTCACGCATCACTAGTCTACTAACAGACATATCAGCCTGGATGTCACACCACTTCCTGAAAATTAATCTATCCAAAACTGAGCTCATAATATTTCCTCTCCTACATGCCTCTTCCACTGATTTCTCTGTCATAATCAATGGCTCAATCATTAACTCGTCCTCCACATGCCAGGGTGCAAGGTGTAATCCTGGACTCTGAACTATCCTTTCGACCCCATATCCAATCACTGTCCAAAGCTTGCCTCAACCTCCAACATCTCCAAGATACGCCCCTTCCTAACCAATTACACCACAAAGCTTCTAACTCACTCCCTGGTCATCTCCCGCCTTGCCTACTGCAACTCCCTCCTCACTGGCTTACCTTTTCATAGGCTATCCCCCCTCCAGCCCATCATGAATGCTGCTGCTAGACTCATCCACCTTACCAAACATTCAGTGTCTGCCACCCCTCTTTGCCAGTCCCTCCACTGGCTCCCACTCACCCAATGAATACAATTCAAAATACTTCCAACTTATAAAGCCATCCACAACTCAGCCCCTAGTTACATCACTAACCTGGTCTCAAAATACCAACCAAATTGTTCTCTTCATTCCTCCCAAGACCTCCTGATCTCTAGCTCTCTTGTCACCCCCTCCCATGCGTGCCTCCAGGACTTCTCTAGAGCTGCTCCCATCCTCTTGAACTCCCTTCCCCAATGTGTCTGACTATCTCCATCTCTGTCCACTTTTAGATGATCCCTGAAAACCCATCTCTCCAGAGAGGCCTATCCTGCCCCTACCTAACACAGTTCCCACCTTTTTGTATCTCTTGACTCTCCCTCTTAGATTGTAAGCTCTAACGAGCAGTTCCCTCTGAATCCTCCTGTATTAATTTGTATTGTAATTGTACTGTCTGCCCTTATGTTGTAATGCACTATGTAAACTGTTGGCGCTATATAAATCCTGTATAATAATAATAATCAATGATCTTTACCTTGTGATGTTTTTCTGCTCATCAGTTATCCTTATTGTTAATGTATTTTATGTGTGACCCAAGACAATTCCTATTCTTCCAATGTGGACCAGGAAACTCAAAGTTTGGACACCCCTGCTTCAGAGCAACTCCTGGATTCAGATATTACCCACTTTGTGCTGATTGTACACATATATGTGGCCTCTTGGTGGGTGGGCCTTAACGCCCAGCAGATGCATACTGTATATGCAGCCCTTATAAAACTCTTACTGTGCTGATGCTCCCAGCATAGTAGGCGGCAGGGAACGGTAAGCTCCCAGTGCATACTTACCATCAGGAGCATTCCAATCATTTGACTGCTGTGGCAGCCAATCACAGCGGTCACATAGCCTCTGCTTATGGGCATCTAGAATCTCTTAAAGGGCTGGGAGGCGTCAATGTGAAGGGGTTAACTAGTTTTGATTTAAAGCCATTCTATTCTATAGCTCTATGAAACTTAGTTTCTGCCCATCAGCCATTGCACATACTAAATGTGCTTAGACTAACATTTCTATGGGTCTAAACACATCCCCCATAGCCATCCAACAATGCTGCTAACAAGGAGAAAGCTGAATTGATAGTCAGTGCTTGTCTCTGGCTCCAAGCACTTGCCTGAGGCAAGCACTGGTGATAGAAATGCTGAGGACATGTCAGCCTTTTGTCTCTCTGAATTCTTCTTGCCAGTGTTTGTCACAGGAAAATGCTTGGAGCTGGAGAAATGCACTAGCTATCAATGTGACGATCGCGCGTCAGACCCCTGACCTTCTCACCAAACTTGTGACCGAAGGATTAGCCAATCTTTAACCGCGATGTCACATGCGTAACAATGCCATGCCCAGCTGCACCCTGCACAACGATTTTCCAGCGAATGGACCACAAATCGATGTACTGGCAGCCTGAATGCAATTGTTACTGGGTCAGGTTAATTACGCAATTAACCCTTCACACTGCCACCACCTCCTTTTTGTACAGAGAAAGAGGAAACTCGGCAATATCAGCAATAACACTATGATGGTTGAGATAATCATCTGTATAGCACTGTCACCGCAGACAGGTTAAACAGAGGGTTAAAAAAACACAGTAGCGCTCTTTTAGAGGCAGGAATTCGTAAGTTGCATTAACGAGCTATAGAAACAGTTCAACACTTCCAGAAAGAATGATTTATTAGTAAAAGGTCAAAAGGGTGCAATAAAAAAATTTACAGAAAAAAGATGTAACCAATATATATATAAATATACAGAAAACAATAGCACAGCAAAGAGGTAACAGAAAGGAGGTTAAAGGGTTAAAGTACTTGCCAATCAGCCTTGGGTTAAGCAGATCAAGTTTCAGAGCAAGAGGGCTCCCAAGTTGAATCTGATGTTAAACGGGAGAATTCTTCAACTTCCACTCTTTGGCCTGACAGCCTATTTTGTTGTCCCCCAGCAGGGGATGTCTCTGAAGCCAAGGACCAATGCCTCATTTGGGGCGGGATTGTCTGGGCGGAGACCAAAACTAGAGCCAAAATCTCTCCTAGCTCATATTTTGGCTCATAACTTTTCCTAGGCACAAGTAACTTTCCCACCCGCGGGTAGATTAATATGCAGACGCATCTGAGGAACGGTTACATATGAAATATGTAATACATACTTGAAGGGTTCAAGAGATGTAATTTTCTGCTTTCCTAGGTATTCTAGTCAGGGAGTGTGACCTATCAAACGATTTGTCTAATCGTGGGCCATCTAAAGATAGGCCTGGTTTTTATGTAAGTCTCTCATATTCCAAGATATGAGACATAAGGGAAAAAAGGATTTTAAAAGTGTTATCTAGTCTTTTACTCCTCTGGAATGTCTTTGAACTCAGGGGAAGGCTTGGGTTATCTTTTTACGAGGTGCCAGATTGCTCAATTTTCCCAGCCCGCCCGGCACCCAGCTCAGAGATGGTTTATAGCTCAGAGCTCCCTGCTGTGCCCTGGCCGGCCTGTGACACTTCCATCACACACACACACTGACCAAATGTCACTGTGACTCTCAGAGAGGGCGGGGGAGAATGAAGGGAGATATGTTTGTACAAGATGGATGATCCTTTGCCAAGATGGAGTTAGGAGCCAAAATGGTTGAACCGCATCCATCTCTGTGGCATGATTGCTACAATCAATACAAGAGTCTCCCTGCTAGATGTGTTCTCGGACAGTTATGGGGGAGGTTGGAGGCGTCCTGTCCTATCACGTAGCTAGCCTTTCATAGCATGTAGGAAGATGGGACAAAGTACTACATTTACTTTGTCCCATGGGTGGCAGAACACTACAATAAATAAAAAAAAATACTTGTGGAAAATAATTTATATAAATATGTGATGAAACTGCATTTTTCCTTTAATCTTTATAGAACAAATATGTCATCCAGTTAACCATTATGCCATTAAAAAAATAACAGCAAACATTTGCTTAATCAAGTTCATCATGTGAAGGCCTTATAAAGTGCTCAACTAGACACCCTTGAAAACTCAGAAAGTAGAATGCAGCAGCATCCTTCTGGAATAGGGTTGTTGGAAGAATGCGTTCTTTCTGAAGCCAGAGGGAACGGAGCCACGAGCTACAATAAGTATTTAATAGGAAGTAAAGAGACAGCTGGCAGAACACAAAGAGTATAAAGACTAAATAAAAAGTGCACTGGGAGTGAGCAGTCAGGCACAATAAGGAGTAAATAGAGGAATGCGACATGCAAGAGCATGGCAACAAAGAAGTAATAATCCAACTAGGGAGTATGGAGAAGGATTTGCAGGAATCCAAGGTCTGCAGACACTTCTGGTTCAAAGGACAAGAACGCTATATAATGTCTGGCACTAGGTAGCAGCAACCTCATGGCAGGCCAGCTGGACCTGAATTTATATTTGTTATTCAAGGATCAGGGAGTTAAAGAAGCTTCTTAAACCAAAGCTGATGTGCCAGTCCTCCCAAAATTAATCTTACAGTTTTTGTCTGGTGCTGCACTTAAAGGCCAACTACATGTTTGACCTCCCCCCAACCTCGAATTACAAAAAACATACAGTGTATACACCTTAATAAATATAATATACCTCCCTATCTAATTACTAATGCTGGCAGCATAAGGATTAAAAATAGTCAATGTTGACTAACCTAGGTTCACACCTAAGAGTTTTCCGCAGCGTTTTGTATTTTGCAGAAACGTACTACAGTCCATTTAACATGACTTCCTATGGGACACGTTCACATCTCCGCGTTTTCACCCAGTGCGTTTTTTGGAAAGGGTCAGGGACTTTTTTAAATGCAAAAAGTTGCATTTTTGTTTCTATAGACTTCAATGGAAACGCTGCAAAAAAGCATGTAGTGAGTTTTTTTTTATGCGTTTTGCATTTTAAATCTGCCAAGCAACAAGAAAAAAGTAAAACGCATGTGCAAAAAACGTAGTACGGAATGCAAAATGCACTGCAAAAATGGATCAAACACAAACTGCATAGGTGTGAACCTATCCTAAGAGAGTGAAGGTCCACTTTAAAGCGGAGGGCTAAGCAGATATATAGGTTCAAATTAATGTAGAGCTGTATTCATTAACCATTTCACCCCCTTCCATCCAGGCCAATTGTCACTTTGAATGACAATTGCATGGTCATGCAACACTGTACCCAAATAAATTTTATCATTTTTTTTCACACAAATAGAGCTTACTTATGGTTGTACTTGATCACCACAGTTTTTTTTTTTTTGCTACATAAATGAAAAAAAATAAAGAAAATTATTATTTTTTTGGGTACAAATAACCCAAAACAGTGTATATTATTTAGTCTGTGTGAAAGTTAGAGTCTACAAACTATGGGATGTACAGTATATCTGAAAATTGATCAGTTGAGACCCTAAAATGCTGGACGCTAGTATGATGTATGGCAGTGTTCAGGACATTGGTATGAGGTATGGTGGTGATCAGGATGCTGGTATGGAAGTGACCAGGATGCTGGTATGGAAGTGATCAGGATGCTGATATGGGATATAACATTGATCAGGACGCTGGTATGGGGCATGGCTGTGATCAGGACGTTTGTATGGTGTATGGCGGTGATCTGGACATTGGTATGACATATGACGTTATCAGAACTCTGTTATGGGGTATGGCAGTGATCAGGACCCTGGTATGGGGTATGGCGGTGATCAGGATGCTGGTATGGTATATGGCAGTGAACAAAATGCTGGTATGGTATATGGCAGTGATCAGGATGCTGGTATGGCATATGGTGTGATCAGAGCGCTGGTATGCTGGTGATCAGGGCACTGGTATGGGGTATGGCGGTGACCAGGCCACTGGTATGGCATGTGGTGGTGATCATGGTGCTGGTATGGAGTATAGCAGTGATGAGGACGCTGGTATGGCGGTGATCAGGACTTTGGTATGCAGTATGGCGGTGATCATGGCGCTGGTATGGGGTATGACTGTGACCAGGATGCTGGTATGGCGGTTATCGGGACATTGGTATGGTGTATGGAGGTGTTTTTGTGAGCACTGGGGCAGGTAACATGCCATATTTATTTATGATTACACGGGGCAGTGATCAGGAACCTTAGGGCATTGATCAGGGACACTGGGGTGGCTGGCACTGCAGTCTGCGAGTGTATAAGCATCCTGACAGGTTGCTGTACGCTCACAGGCTGCAGCATCGCTTCTCTCTGCTCTCACTGTGAGAGCAGAGAGAACTGATCTTTACTTTCACTTAGTATTGTTTACTATGTGATTGCTGTGATTGGACACAGCAATCACATGGAAAAATACCATGTGATCACTTGGACACAGCGGTAATGTGATCTACTGTATCCGGGTGATACATGGATCACCGGGCTCCTGGGTGCACGCTCTGTGAACCGCGCAGGAGCCCTCTCTGCGAGCTGACGTACTATAGGCAATGGGCAGATGAGAAGCAGTTAACCTTCCTAGCGGTATAATTATGTCAATTTCTGTGCTCAAAGCGGTACATTTTTTTGCATGGAAATATGTCTTTTTTTATTGTAGGCCTGTAATTTTTAGGAATAACTCACTGAAATCTGTCCGAACAAGAGTCTAGTAAACATCCCGGGTATGATAAAATTTGAAACACGAAATCATAAATTATAATATTAAAAATAATCATAAAAAATAATAATATAATAATAATAATAAATTTAGTTAAATAATGTAATCAAACAAAAAAACACTGAAGTTTGAAATAAAGCGCCAAGTTCGCACATCACTGAGCTTAGTTGCAAAATCGTTTTCAGTGTCTAATGACGGATTTCCCCACAAATCATTATCATTCAATTCTGCAAGTGGTTCTAATTTACTATCGCTGTTCTCTAGCTGGTCTAAAACCGCTTTGGACATAAAGGGACGCTTTTTGGACGCCATGGACATTTCTCAGTTTCAAGGCAGGAAGAACGGTAAAAATGCAGGCAGGGCACAGGACAAAGCACTCGGGACAAGATGTATGTGAAATGGTTTGATACAGTAATGTTTTACTATGTGATTTTAGTGTATTTAGTGAATGTCACTTCTTAAAATTTTTAAATTTCCTGCTGGTTCCTGCCCCGTACGTCCCAACGCTCGCAGGGACCGGATACAAATGGAGAAATAGAAAAAGGGGCGCACCGACCTAGTGCATTATCGTTTTAAAATAATTTATTGAAGAGAAGAAACAAAATAGGTATCATACTCACAATGGACATAATAACACAGGCATGTCAAACTGAACAAGATGTATGATCCAAACAACATCTGAGTCCATACGATGGAACCCTGGATGACCAACTGGCTAACGCGTTTCGAGGACACAACCTCTTCCTCAGAGCCACTCGCAGGGACCGGAACCCGGAAGACGGATGCCAGCATCGGCCAGAGGAGATGGCCAGGGATGCTGCAGGGGGGGGAAATCGCGGGGGCGCAGGACAAGGTAAGTGAAACAGGGATCCTGGAGCAACGCTGCAGTGTAATCCCGAGTGTAGCTCGGGGTTACCGCTTTTGGCACTTATAATTAACCCTGATCTACACTCGGGAATACCGCCAGAGAGGTTAAAGTGGTTGTAAACCTCAAGCATGAAATATGAACAAAGCATATCCCTCTATAGTGTGTGCTTGTCTCAATCCAGAGCACTAAGTGTTCTTTCTGTCTGCTGCCTCATTGCTCTGTTATCAGCATGAATCATTTCTGGCAAGTTTTCCTGACACCAAGAGAAAAAAGGTGGCAGGGAAGGAAGCTCCAGTACGCAGCCTGTGATTGACAACCTCAGCTCTGTTCTTGGGTGCAGTATGAGGATTGGGGAGGGGTGTCCCTTCCCTCCAATCAGCTCTCAGAGTTCTCCTCACTTTAATTCTCTGCCCCGTGTTTTCCTAAAGCTTGGGCGAGCTTTATAAGTGCCAGACTTTGATCAGATGTAGAGAAGAGAAGACTGCAGATAAACAGGTACAACTTATGTAGTTTATATTGTAAAGCGCTGAGAAAACTGTTGGCGCAATATAAATCCTGTATAATAATAGGAGGATTTGTTCATCTTTGTGTATCACCTGAGGCCAGTCACTTCACTGGGTATATGTAAGGGTTTACAACCACTTTAATACATGATCTCAATCTCTTGGTTCTTTTATTCATTTGTTTTGGAAATGTCCAAAACGACATCAGTATTGACAAGATCTAATAAATTCTGTATACGATACTGTGTTTATTCCAGATCCTGTTCTATGCCTCCTTGGGTATATAAATTCCAGCAACCTGGAACATGGTCAGGCAGTGATCATTGTAAGATCACGTTTTATGGCTCATAGGTTAATAGCTTCTCGTTGGATGTCACCCAGACCTCCAACACTTGGGGACTGGATTCAGGAAATGGATAAATATGTAGTGTTCGGGAAATATACTTATGCTCAATGAAATGCCTTTTGGAAGTTTGAAGAAATATGGAGAAAATGGATAGATGCTCCATGCTCTAGTTAAAGTCTACAGTGGGAATCTCCGTGGAGTTGGTTGGCCTGTCTTGAAAAAATCTTTTATATATTGTTGATAATACAGTGTATCTGTTGCCCTGGAATAATAATAATACTGTAATGGAATAATAGAAAAATAATAGAATAGTATTATATAATGTGCCTTTTTGTTTGTTTTTTTACTTTGGAATTCTTGGAACTTTTTGGAATACTGATTGACATGAACCAATAAACTTCTGATGCTACTGTCTTAATAGCTAAATTGATTGATTGTTTTTGATGTGTTTTTCCTTTTATATGTGTGTTATGGAAAAATGTCAAAACAAAATCTGAATAAAAAAAATAAAATACATCTTTATAATAGAATGCCAGCCAAAACCAACAAGATAAACCTATTACCGTATATACTCGAGTATAAGCCGACCCGAATATAAGCCGAGGTACCTAATTTTACCACAAAAAACTGGGAAAAACTATTGACTCGAGTATAAGCCGAGGGTGGGAAATGAGGCACCTACTAGTCAATGTAAAAAATTGGTATCAGTGGGAGGAATAGTGCCCCATCATTGGTGTCAATGGGAGGAATAGTGCCCCATCATTGGTGTCAGTGGGAGGATTAGTGCCCCATCATTGGTATCACTGGGAGGAATAGTGCCCCATCGTTGGTATCAGTGGGAGGAATAATGCCCCATCATTAGTATCAGTGGGAGGAATAGTGCCCCATCGTTGGTGTCAGTGGGAGGAATAGTGCCCCATCGTTGGTGTCAGTGGGAGGAATAATGCCCCATCATTAGTATCAGTGACACCAATGATGCGGCACTATTCCTCCCACTGACACCAATGACACTTGCTGACCCCTGTTGCAGTATGGTGCTGCTGCAGCCAACATATGTGGTTGCAGCAGCACCTCTGCACTGCACACTTACCGGCTTTTCCCTCACTCGATTTTCACGGGTCCGCTTGGCTCCGCCTCCTCGCCCGTAATTGGCCGCCTGTGTACCTTTCCTGAGCTACAGTTCTGGCAGCCAATCACCGGTGAGGAGGCGGAGCCGAGAGGCAGGAGTGAGGGAGTGGCCGGAGTGACGGAAGCTTCCTGGATGGATCATCGTGGGAGCCAGGTAAGAGACAGCAGCCCTCTGCCCACCCCTGCATGCGCCCCCCTTGACGGAGCCGAGCGCCCCCCCTGGGGGGCGCGCCCCACTATTTGAGAAAGCACTGGCTTTAGAAGCAGCGCCCCCTGCTAGACATTTGCAGACGTTGACTCGAGTATAAGCCGAGGGGGCCGTTTTTCAGCACAAAAAATGTGCTAAAAAACTCTGCTTATACTCGAGTATATACGGTAGATTGTAAGCTGTGAGGAGCAGGGCCCTTCAAAACCATCTTGTTTTGAATTGTGTTGTCACGGAACTGTCTCCCTTTATATTGTAAAGTACTGCGCAGGGGCGGACTGACAACTCATGGGGCCCCTGGACAATAGGGGATCATGGGGCCCCTGTGTCCTTGCCCAAACTCAAAAAAGCCTATGAAAAAGGTACCAGGGGCATCTCATGGAGTCCCCTACTGACCCTGGACCCTCAGGCAGTGCCCAAGTTTTCAAATGGTCTGTCTGCCCCTGGTACTGCGTAAACTGTTGGCACTATATAAATTAGTTAATTAAAAAATAAAATAATGCATCTTTTGTTGAAATTTTTTACAATGCTCCCCCCTGCAGTAGTTCTTTTTCACTATAAGATGCTTCCAGTTTACCCGAGGATACATTTCTTGTTACCCTTTTACACGAAACTGTATTCAATGCCCGTAAATTACTGGCGAGCCATTGGATGCAGGCAACCGTTCCCACCCTACAGATGTGGTTGATTGAGGTCACTTTCACTCTACCGTACAAGAAATGTATTTATGTGCATAGAGGATTTCCCATGAAATATAACAAAATATGGGCTATATGGCTATCTTCCCCCAATACCTAGATGGCTTGATGAGATGGGGTTGTTGGAAGAGGGGTCTTCCCCCCAAACCCGTTCTTCTACTAGTTTTTCCTGGGCTCCTGGTACTTTGATATTCACTCCTGTTGTCTGACTTGTTTTGCTGTTCATGCATTATTTGTTGTTCTACTCACCCCCTGGACATGTACCCAATTTGTGACCCGGGTAATTATTTGTGATGTACTATATGTTCTTGATGTACGATGCTGATTGTGCTTCTTTTCCCTGCATCATTTTTTTTTTCTTTGTATACGTTTTATGTCCTATCTCTGCTTTTTTCCTTTCAATAAAGTTTTCTTTTCAATGTAAAAATAAAACAAAATGCCCCCAGTTTGATGGCCAGCATTAATCAGCCCTCTTCCTCTGAGCCCAGGTCATCCTGGACCTGCCTCCAACTGGACAGTGAAAGAAGAAGCACAATAATGAG